ATAGAAATTAATGCAAATGCAATTAATCCGTNATTTTTGTTCTATGCATTCACATGTTCGAATATAACTGGTTTTTTAAACCTGAAGAAGACCGAATGTACGGTTGAAAATGTTAGTTTGCTATTAAATGTTTATTACTGGAGTTATAAGGTTTAGGAGTTAATTTATACATTCTCCAGTATATGCGTAAGAAGATTTGAGTTAAAACTATAATTTTTACTTTATTCTTGGTATTTTTAAATTTATTATAATTATTTAATAATTATCTGCAAATATTCAAGTACCTACATATGGGATTTATACATATTTATTTACAATTTATTTGGAAAGATGAAAAGATATAAACAAAATTGTTATTCAAGATCAATTCTGTTAATAAAAAAGACATTTTTATGATGCCATACTCTCTGACAACAGTGTTACAAAAAGATTTTGTCATTTTCATAAATATGAATAAGTTCATCACAATCTATTAATTTATTTTCTCCAATATATTGATTATTTACTCAGCAAATGTTTTCTCCTACTATCTTTGCAAGTTCCAAAATTGAGACGATTAGATCTCAGCTGCGATTAGATCTTGATTTTGAAAGATATTTTCACAATATGTTAGAGAATCATTTAAATATAATTTTGCAATATTGTCCTGCAGTGATTCTTCTGTGCTATCAATGTTAGAAAGAGAAATGGAAGCCATCATTTTGTTATTTAACAAACAAACATTCAATAATAGAAACATTTAGGTTAAATAATGGCTTTGTTGATGGATTAAGTATATACATAAAAATACAGAAAATTTGTTGTTTTTAAATAAATATTGTTAGTTAGAAGTTTAGCATTTCTTAACTGCTTTTGACATTGATGTGTTACTTGAAACCATTGATTTTATTGTTTTATTACTCTGTTCATGGTACATTTGTAGTTTTCTAAAAATAAATTAGTTTTTCTCTGACAATAAATCTAAAAATGCCAAGAATAAAGTGAATATTATAATTTTAGAGAAAAAAAAATTCATTCAATGTTTCATAATTGGGAGGTTGGTTTTTGAATCTTGATTCAAAAACCAACCTCCCAATTATGAAACTGGCACACCCCATCAAGCCACTAGTCAACCTACAAGACAGTGGAAATTTTAAAGGTTTTAAGTGATTATGCAAATTTTGAGTAATGTGCCATACTGCTTGACACATCTTATTTGTTGGGGATGCATTATATCCTCACCAAGTTTGATCAAAATTGGTAACCCCAATGTCATGCAATTCCCTTGTTAGCTCAGATCTCACTCCTAGGGTGCCTAGTCTTTGAGTTATGTGAATAGAAACATGAATATGTCAAGAATATAAAGTGGTATCAACTTGTTCAGTGGAACCATTCACTGAATTAATGTACTGTACAGTACAGTTTAGGTCACTCTTTCTCAAATATTCAATGTTTTTCTATTTAATTTGTTTTATAATTACTCCAACAATTAATTATTAATTACTAATGAAATAAAATGAAAAAAAAAAAAAGAAATATCTGAGATAATGCCTTCTAAACTGCATTGAGTTAGGTTGATGTTCAATGGAAACTTTGGAAGTGTGGATTATGTGACGTTTTTATTTTCTTTTTGGCTAATTTCTGAGAGGTATATGCCACTGTAATAATATGCAAGAAAATTATGGTACCTCTAGCACTTAAAAAATTTAATAATACATCATCACTATCAATCAGTCTTACTGAAAATTGGTAATATTAGTGATTTTGTGATTGGAAAAATGTATGTACACTATATGATAAAAATCTACTTATAAAGAAGTAAACATAGCCCCATTTTCTTTCATGCTTGTTCACTGATTCATGTAACTGCCTCATTTATTTCTTTTTGTCAGTTACATTAGACATAATAAAAAATAATAATACATCAAATATTTGTATGAATCAATAAATAAATATATACAGCTTCTATAATATGGATAATTATATCTATTATAAAAGTGGATACATTTCCATACAACACTGAATAATAATCAATCGTTTATTTGTTACGGCTTTCACCTTTAAAAGGGGTTACAAAACTCTTAGCAACATTATTAATACAAACATTGTTTTACATAATTGTAAATAGATAACAATTGATATAACTTTAAATTAGTAAAACTATGTTAATTTAACATGTTCAATGAATAACAGAAAAATTTATAAATTTTATATAACATTACAGAACTTAAATTACCATCATATAAACAAAACACATTAAAATCAGTTACCAAAAAAATATCCTTTAAGTGTACTGAATANTTTGGTATACATTATATAAAAAATTAAACATTTTTTAGTTTATTTATTCAAGTAATTAAGATTTTGATGACATTTGTAATTACATAATTTTTTTCTTTGTAGCATTTACATCTATTAGATTTGCAACCAATTTTGCAGCAGCATCAACTATAGCCATGGTTTCCAGAAATTGATGACATTCTTGCACATTCTCTAAGCAAAATTTCTACACCCAAGTACATCTCCAACAGAAATGAAGTTTTCTTTACAAACAGTAAATTTGTTTCTGGAATAAAATAGATTTAATATGCCATGTTTGGTTCCCAGTTTGTAAAGATTTTTATCGTTAACCACAACAATGACACCTAAAATATTTTTTCCATCACTACGGGCTCAATCTACATCTGGTACACGAATCCTTACCGTATCACCAACATTAACTGCTGTGTATTTGGAATTTGATGTATCAATCATTTTTTCTGTTTGCTTTTTGAGATTAAACAAAGCCATTTCCCTTGTTTTAGACACACTTCTTATTTTTTTCTTCTATTTTTGGATCAACTGTTTGGATTTTTTCTTCTTCATTCACCAATTCTGTAATACTAATAACATCTTGGTTTAGATCTTTTTCATGTGAAGACGATGTAGATCTTTGAACTTCATCAGTTATATTACTATGTGAGGGTAGCATTATCAAATAATCTTTTATAATGTTTTCTTCGACGGTACCTGATCTTTCAGAGTTTGAGCAACTTTGACTTACTTTGTCGATAGTTTTAAAAAGTCTCTCTAGTTTTAATAAACAATGTTAACATATTAACATCAGTCCTTCGTATTAACACTGGTCAACGATTCATTGGGTATAAAATTCTTTAGTCCAACTTTTAACTTTGCTCCAAACATGGTCTCATAGGGACTGCAGTTTATACCAGTATGATGTGCTCGATTTTTCATCAGTTGTACAAAACGTAATCCTTCCAACCATTTGTTAGTATTGTTAGTCTCCAACCAAGAACTAAGCATATTTTCTTTGTCTTGATTACATCTTTCTACCAAACCTTGACTTTGTGAGTGCCTGGGCTTTCCATGCACCATTTTTAAGCCAAATATTACACATTTCTTTGATGACATTATTGGCAAATTCTCAACTGTTATCTCTTTGTAGAATACTCGGTGCATCGAAAATTGTAAAATTGTCTAAAAAGAACATATGCTACTTCTTCAGCCCTTTTGATTTTTAACAGTTGTAGTTGAACAAATTTAGTTTGATGGACTTGATACACAAGTATAAATTTATATTGCTCTTCGGCTTGCGACTGCATATCTATAAGATCAACCTGACATCTTGAGTTCATTTCATTACATAAAATTGGTTTAACTACCAAACCTTTCTTAGAAACATTGTTTTTTCTGACAGATTTCACATAAGTTGAAATAAATTATGATCATCTCTCTTGTAATATTTTTATATTTCGTACTTAATTCTTTTCCACACGGTTTGTACCACCATGTCCAATAGCAATATGGGCATCATGCAATATCTGAAATATTTCTTCAGTGTGAATGTAATATTTCATCTCATTACCTTCTTTTACAGGCATAATTAATTTTTCTAAATTTCTAATAGATACAACATCATATCTATGTAAACACTGATATTCTTCCAGTAACTTAGAAGTAACTTTCATTTTTGACTCTCACTTTTTGTATCATTGACAAATATGCTGATTTTGTAAAAATTTCATTGTTCTGACCTTTTTCTGCTATTAACTCATTTAAATCAGTTGTTGAAGCAATTATTCATATCACTTAATGATCGCTCCATGATCGTTACTTTTGTCAACAAAGAAAACACTATTTTAAGAGACAAAAGTACAGTTAAAATGTCACACAAGATTAACTAGTGGTTACATAAATTTAATATTCAGTACTAAATGCAACTCAATGACTCATGCGCATGCAACTCAGTGATTGGCGAGTGCCGATTGGCGAGTGCTAATTGGCTAGCATATGTTGGATGATCACTCCTCAACGTATTACCATCACTTTGCTCGACTAGGTGATAGCAGTTTTCATAATGACTGGTCAATTTGATAAATTAATTAAGTTAAAACACCTGAAATTTATTACAGTACCTGATTTTGTTTGTCTTTATTCATAATTTGTGCATTGTCATACTTTATTTATTTAAATAAGTTAGCTATTTAGTTTTTTATTTATAAAATATTTATATATAAATAACAAATTAATATTATATATAAATTTAGTAATCAAATGATATTATTGCAGAAATGACCCATAAGGTTATATCTTTTAAATTAATTAGTATGGAAACAAAGACTGAACAGAATACTTGGTCATATAATTTGAACACATCTACATGGTTAGAAGCTGTGGGTTTGAGTCCCACACTGAATCAACCTTTCCTTTTAGAATATTCTAATTTTAATTATTAAATTTAATACAAGATGACTAAAATGCCTAACTTTAGTCCAAGTTACATAAATATCTGTACATTTATTTAATCAATTTAAAGCTATATTTATTATCAGTTTATATCAATTATTAATATATAACTTTTGCTTGCTTTTTATATAATTATATATAAATTAATTTACTTTATATGAGAAAAGACATTTCAACTTTTTTTTATTTTATAAAACTAATTGCTTAAACATTAAATGATAACTACTTTAGAATTAATATTTCACACTTACAGTCAAAGAAAAATTACTACTTACTTTTGGACGAAGTCCTATTCTGTGAAAATGACGTCCTACTTTTGGAAATCTTTCCGAAACATTTCGTTTTGTTCTAGATTTTGCTCTATCAAGTGCAGTGTAATTAAAAGTTTCACTGGCTAATTTCACCACCTTTTCAGAATTATTAATCATAATATAAAATGATTTAAATCACATAAATAATAATTTCTATTAAATAAGTAAGCAAAGTCATATCACATTTCAAAATATTAATAATAAATATGTAATATTATTTTTAAAATTTTATACACAGCTGAATATTTAGAATAGAATAAATATTTAACTAGACTTAAAATAAATATTTAAATAAATATTTAGAATAATCATCTTAGATTAAAAGGATTATATTTTTGATAATTATTCAAATATAGAATAAAAAAAGTTATATTTTAAATTCAATTGAATCTAAAGTAAAATGAAAGTTTAACAGGCTATCCCAAAGGGAAAATTATAGTATATATCACACATAATCAAAATTAATGATGACTTGCATATATATAATATATTTTCTGTTTGATTATACAAAAGAGTTAATGTTTAATATTAATGCATACGAGTATATATCTTAAATTAAAGTAAAATTTGAAAAAAAAAAAAAATTGAAAAATGTTCATTATAAAAGCTAATATTAAAGTAAAAAAGAAATAATGCTTTTCAATATTAAAATCTCTTATGGGAACAATTAACTTTTGATAAGAATGAAATATCTGTAGAAATATTTAGTTATACAAATTAAATATACTGATAAATATTTAATTTACATAATGCAAATGTAAAAGTTTATTAAATCATAAGTAATTTTATATTTTAAATTTTTAAAACATTAAATTATGCTTATTTTATATTAATAAATATGAGTGAACAACTTTCAAAAATGGCTTAAGAAAGAACATTTTAAAAATAAAATTGTTTTATTACAATATTTTCTTATCAAGATATAAAGAAGTATTATAAAATTACTTTTAAAAAAAAGCTGTAAATTATTTTTGAATGTTAATTTAAATTTTTAAATTAATTTAACATTGCAATCACAATATTTTTTTCTATCATATATTTTTCAAATTTCATGTTTACTAAGATGTAATATATGAGAAATATGAAATATATAAATTTTAATTAAATTCATAATTCAACTATCTGAAAGCATTTATAATAAAATTATTTATGCATACAAAGACAATTAAATATAAAAATATTAAAACTGAAATGATACGCTAGGCAGAAATTAAACAGATAACTCTACATGTAATTACTTAATGTATATCAGGAATTATCTAAAGATTATGAATCATATAAATGATTTATTGTTCAATTATATATTATTACTTGTTTGTTTAACATGTCTGTAATATGTGTAATGTTTTAATATAAAAACTCAAGTAGACATTGAAAATTTAAATTTTAGATTAACAAAAAACAAACATTCTTCTTTTCATAATACTAATTAAAATCTGAAAAAATTGAGTGATTCATACTAATAGATTTTCAAAACTATAAAAAAAGTTTATGAGTTAAATTTTTCTCTAAAGCTTATACTAAAAAGATAAGATATTTTTCGATAAATTGATAGAAGTAACAAAACTGTTTATATAAAATTGTTTATATTACTTGAATTTTTTTACTATAATTATCAAAAGTCATTGCAAAAGTCTATACTGAATTTCTTTTTAAATGTACGTAAAACTCTATCATACATTCTACAATATTTTTTATAATCTGTCATAATAATTAATGCACCTAATTACCGAGAGTATATTTGATATACTAAATGCTAATACTTTTATCTAAAATGAAATAAATGTAAAAGTTATGACATCGACATCATTAAAAACCAACAAAGATAAAAAATATTTGTGGATACTTTCTTTATTATTTAAAATACAGACCTTTGTTTTTGGTACAATACTGAGCTCTAATTTGCCATCGACCACAGATGCTCCGGCTTCAGACAAGTAGCCCTGATTAGGAACAAGACAACTACGTCCAAAACAGCAAGGACAGCATAACCTATGCATCCACTTAGTCCATTTTGGATTAAGTCTTCCATAAGGCTCTTCATCTTTAGGTTTAAATATTCCAATTGTTTTCTATTTAAAAAGTTATACTTAAATGAGGAAAAACTTTTAAAAATTAACACCATTATCCTGATAGCTCAACATATTCATAAGTAAAACTAAAATAATATAATATATATGTATATATACAAGTAACATTTAAGACATCACCCATATAAGTGTGTGTATGTGTGTATATGTATATATAAATAATCTCATTAAACAAAAAACAAAAAAATACATTCAGCATTTACGACTCTCACCGTTCCATCAGAGTTTTTCACAAAATAACTACCGCTAGATCCCTGATATATTCTTTCCGGTAAAAATCCATTTTCGATAGCAATTTCCGCATCTCTCATGATACCCGAGAAGGTGGGATCATTGGGGAAAGTATTGAGATTGAAACTGGCATAGTTCTGCATTTCTGCCATAACGTAACTTGCCAGGTGACAGAACAGGTGAGCGACAATGCGCGCTCTAACGGTGCATTAATAATATTTCTTGTTTACAAACAAAATAACTACGCCATCTCGCGAAAATAATTTTTTTATTAAACGATGAATTTAAAAATATATATTTAGTTTTTTTTGTAATTTTTACGGAAATAAATATAAAAATAAACGGTTATTATTCATAATAAATTATTTTAAATATCTCAAATGTGATGAAGTAGCAGAATTCTTATTCTGAATATTAAATCAAAAATTAATTAATTCGGTAAACTTAATTTTTATTTAACTGACATGTTACTTGGAATGAAATAAATACTGTATTTCAGTTAATTTAAAATTATAAATGATTAATTTTAACAAAATAAAATATCCGTATAACAGACAGTATGAAAATTATGTCATCTACATCCATAAACGTATTGCGCTACAAAATTTAAATTTATTCATCGGCCCCGAATGTTGGACCCCGTCCCTCACCTCCCGGTCGCCCGGTCAAGGTGACAGCCAACCGCTCTGGGACACCCGGGTTCGAATCTGGACGGGTCGATAAATCCCAGGGATTTTTCGGAGGCGAGTCCGTCCAGATATGTCGGGCCCCGTCCTTCATCACCCGGCTCCCCCATGGGTCTGGCGAACCCATAATGGGCTTGCTAAAAGAGGCCACAGGGCGAAAAGTTTTTTTAAAAAAAGCCATTTGACTCGAATTTCCCAGAGAATGTTTTAAATATGCAAGCCGGTTCTTTCTCGTGTAAACAGAAAGCTCTCTACTTTTGGATTAGCCTCAATGTCAAAAGATCCGTATCTCTGCCGAAAGTTGGTAACCATAACCTCGGGCATCAAATAGAGTGAAGACTATTGTAATTGGCCACAAGAGGTGGATGCAACTCCCTACATAATAATTATAAATCACTGTCGTATTATTGGACAATCGCATGGCCTGAACACTGGGAGTTCGGTCGTAAGTTCGCGCCTCACCAAGACGGACTGGTCACGTGGAGTTTTCCGGGTTTTTCCGTGCTTTTAATGTCGCACGCGGTCTACCACTCTGAGCGACCCGGTTCAAACCCATACGGGTCGAAAACACCCAGAAATTTTTCAGGGACAGTGGTCTGTTGATATGTCGAGTCTAGTTCCTCACCATCCGATCTCCTCATTGTGCCCCCGGCCGAATCCTGGTTCATTGTAATCACTTATTGAACAAATTTATTTGAAAATACATAACTCTGGTAAGATTTGAATAATTACACAAAACAAATTTTTAACATTTATTTATGAACAACACAATAAAATACCAACGTCTTTATACAAATATTTATGTAGAAATTTTTTAAAGAAAAAGATAGATGTTTGAAGTACTGTTCATACATGTCTTCTTTAGCCAGAAATATACTAAAAACTCTTTAAATATTTTCAATAGAAGTATCTTAAAAATTTGTTTACCTCTCATAAAAAAAAAACTTGTTTTAATATTTTGTTACATTTGGTTATCATTAACTTGTAAATGTAAAAAAAATTTATCAAATATGCAAAACAATTATCATCTTATGACTTTCTGCTAAAGTAGCATTTGGAAGATTACTGACCAACACAATAACAGACCAGTTGTATCAAACATATAAAGATCCTGTTAACAGAATTTTATTAATGTATCCTATCAGATCTGAATAATATGAATAGGATCTTTCAGGCGGCATCTGCTGATCCAAAATGTTGCTAGAATCTTTGCTTCAATATTACTTAAGTCCGCTAAAAGATATTGTAATTCCAAGTAAACTTGAAAAAATGAAACCTGAGGAATATCTAACTTTTGAATGTGAAAAACACTGATGCCTATTTTATGTATGTATTTTGTTTATGTATTTGGAAATTTAGTAGATAAGGTATCTTTACCTGCAAAAACAGTAAATCAAATAAAAGGCTGATGGTTAGACTTTACAACTTAACAAATCAGATTAGGATGTTGCCTGAAAATTTGGACATTTTAATGAAATTGTCAATGCTTAGTCCAAAGAAGGTGCTCTCTCCTCCAGAGAGAGAATATAGTTGTTCCTTTAGCAGTGAAGTTTAATCACATTGAGATTAATGTTGACTTATAGCAAAAAATTGGAACTTTTACCTATTTTTTAATCGTAGTTATAAAACTATATAGCCTACTATCAAATTTTGGATATCTGTGAATACAGTAGAGCCTCGATTATCCGACCCAATTGGGGACTGGGGTTGGTCGGATAATTGAAAAGTCGGATAACCGAAAAGTATGAAAAAACCATTATTAGTGTAGTATATTATTATATCCCATGTAATTAGTATATTGCTATTAATCTACTTCGCGTTGAATTTTCATCGATGTTAAGCCTAACAAAAATTTTTTTAAATAATAATCATCGCTATTGTATCGTTAAAAATTAGAAAATTAAGCCTCGTTTAAATACTGGCTCCCTTTCATGGTCGAATGAGTGTTGCCAGCTAAAACACGTAAAAATAATATTAAAGTAGCCAAGACATAGCCAAATATTGTAGCGCCACATCACTAGCGGACATTTGAATTTGCCGACTAGGACTGTCGGTTAATCGAGGCTCTACTGTAATCTTAAGGATCCAATGAAAGATAATTTTCCAACATTTCAGCTTAGCTGTAGCCATTCTTTCTTTACAGCAGCAGAAAGGATATTTTCACGAACAAATGTAATAAAAAGTAAAACTTAGAAACGAAATAGGTGTGTACAGTTGAAGATGTTCTACATACCTGATATGGGCTGAGACAGAAGGAAAAAACCTGTTTACGTCGTCCTCTTCAGTATTCAAGGAATTTTCTTCTCAATGTACATAGAAGTGCTAATGATTTGGTGTATCTGTTCTGCAACTTAATATGCTCAAGTTCTGGAATGAGATGATTGTGCATAGAGTGTATATCTTTATTTGACTCATTTTCCTTTGATTACTCTACAACTTTTGGAATGTATTACTGTACTTGTTTAATATGTTCATTATTGCTTCTGCTGACAGTGCAAAGGTCCACACTTGGTGAACCTTTTGGCATGTATCTAATGGTATTTCACTCTATATTTGCTTTGCTACTTTCCACAATCTTCCATCATCTGACCTTTACTTAAAAATAGTTGCTATTTGGCCAAAGCCAAAAAAGTCCATTTTGATCTATATCAAGGTACTATTCAACATTATATTCATTAATAAGGAAGATACATCATTTGTTATTATTATATTATTATTATTAATGAACATAATGCTCAATTGGCTATGTATAGATTTCATGTACTCTTGTTATTGCAGCAGTGAGCACTATGTGCAGATGCTTTGCAGTAATGGAAGAAATTTGTGTGAACCTCACCAGGATAATGCTGAGGAATGTAATAATTCAACAATTAGTTTGAGAATAGTGTCTGTGCAGAGGTGCAAGTAAGGAAGCTAGGATGGGCACATGCCCCAGCTGTCGACCTTGGGGTTCCAAGTCCATAAAATTAAAATCCTGTAGAATTTTTTTTATAATTAACATTGAATTGAATACTAGATATGAAGCTTGCCCCAGATACCAAAACTGTTTGGTATGACCCTGTATGTGTATTTACTGTGTTGATCTTTGTGTTCAGTGAAACTCTACTGGTGGTCAAGATAGACTGGAATATTTCTAGAACTTAACCTCTGCCTAATCTATGAATGCAGATATTATTTACTAGAGCAACATCTGAGCTAGTATTATATTAAGAATATGTCCAGCTATTATTATTTTCTTTACAGGAGTGCTTATATATTTAAAAACATGTTTATAAATCAATCATAAAGAATTTGGATGGCTGCTTAACCATAGAGTGGTTAAGCAGCCATCCACTCTAACTGACTGTGCTTCATTTCTCGTAGAATAAAGCATGGGCAGCCTTAATGGAAGCTTATGTAGCTCCTGTAGGCATTATTTCATGCTTCATTTGAACTGCTGAACTCTTACCTTGACAAGGTGGTGACAAACAGATGATTATTATTTTGCAACAATGATGATGATTCAATACCTATTCAAAGAACATGTACTATTGTACGTACATGAAATTTAGATTTTACAAACTATTAAAAATATATTCAAATTATAAAATCTTAATATTTTAAATAATTTGAATTGAATTTAGTTGTTTTTACCTAGTTTTTTTACTTATAAACCTTATGGTATTTATATATGTATTTAAGACAATAATTCATATTAATAGACTGAGGAAATTTATTCAAAAATTTGTATTATTTGTATATACAAATTTATATACATTATATACATATTTATATATACAAATTCAACTGATATAGGCATAAAAGTAAGTCAAAGGTTTTTCTGCAGAAAGATTTTTACATAAATTCTGTATAAAATATAAAGTAAATAGTTTATAAATAAATGAAAAAAATATTTTCATTTATAAATTTATTACATATAAACAGCAATTAAGAATTATTCTAACATATCATTTTAGTAAGTTAATAAAATTTTCTCCTTTTTATTTTATAATATATTATTTCTTTTTCATGGTGATTGATGATTAAACTTTCCTTTATCAACCTTTTTCTTACTAAATGATATGTTAGAAAATCCAAAGTTGCATGATATACAATTCTATCAATAAATTATTCTATTTCAATTATCTTTTATATAATTATTTGGAACATCTATCTGGTGTTTAGATAACCGTTGCAATCTTAATAAATGAGCTTCAAAGAGTACACTGTTAATATGATAATAGTAAGGATTCTGAGATGAATTAAGTTCTGGTGAATAAATGCAATTCATTGCTATAGCTGTGTTATTGCTGATTCCATTCTGATGAGACAATAAGGATGAATTACAAACACACTGCATAGTGCTGGATACCTGAAATAAAATGAATTCAGAAAAATTTAATTAAAAACTTAAAATTTTATTTTTACTTAAGTTACAGAAATATTCTGATAAAATAAAAATTATAATACTTAATATATAGTATTTAAATGAAAACTCTTAATTAAAAATAGTTTTAGTTTTAATAGACAACAGCCCAAATTACAAAAGATCCAAATTATGATTTGCAATTACAATGATTCACAAAAACGTCAAAAAATTCACAAAGAAAATAAAAAACTGAAAATATACAAAAAATTGGTGTCATCAAAATCCTAAAGATGTACATATGGTAATATTGCATAATTGTCTTAATAAATGTCAAACCATTGTCATATCAAAGTCAACAACCACCATATTTTAAACCACTGTCAAAAAAAAAATAACACAAAGGGTCTTGACAGTGGCTATTACAACACAAGGCTCTGACTAAATGTAAAACTTCTAATTTAATTTTTGTTATTTTTTAAACAATTACAGAAAAAAATATCAAAAAGAAAACTATTAAAAATAGTTATAAAAAGCTTTAATTTATGAAATACCAATTTATACACACACATATTTTGAAGGCTGAAACATAAATCGTTCAACTTACATGGTGCGTTCATTTTAAACTTTATCCAAGTGCAAAAGAAATCTTTCCAACATGGATGAGTATATGAATTTGGTGAATAGTTCAACAATACAAAGATATAAACAGTTTAAAGTGGCATGCAGCATATCTAACGAGCATCCTAAAAGCTTTTTGTATTTACTCGTATTTCTGTAACTTGCGAATATCACACGGTACTATTATGCATCATAAACTGATGCTTTTAGATTATCCCACAGGAAAATATCCAGCAGAGTCAAGTCCAGAGAACATGATTGTGGTACAAGACTATATTGTTCTATCCACTGGTTTTCAAACTAATCTGTGAATCACTGATGCATATCTGCCTGAGGATGAGCTAGATACAGTATGCCATCCTGCTGATACTAACTACACAGTTCTAAACAAAAATTTAAGTTCAAAAATGAATTAACATCTTAATTTAAGAAATTAATACTTTGTGTAACCCCTCCTTGGTGACAGAAAACACCAAACCTACTATCCAGCATTGAATCAATTAATTTAATCAATTTTATCCCAACATTTTTGAATGGCTTGTTTCAGATCTACAACTTTTAAAAATTGTCTCCCACAGGGGTGGATCTAAGTTTTTCAAAGCCTAGGGCTTATTGAAGTCTAACAAGTCCCTATTTTTTGTTAGATTAAGAATCTTTAAATTGGAGTTTAAAATTCATTTTTAATAACATCAAAATCAGAGTTGATATATATTTATGAAATGGTGAAACCAGTTGAAGCAAGTTGAAACCAGGAGGATGTCTGTAGGTTGAAGGACCCTATAGTCAGACTTTCTGGTTTCAACTTTCCACGCTATATCTGGTCCACCATCAATAGAATCCAGACCTAAGTCGGCAGATGCAACTAACTTCTCAACAAATGGAACATGTCCAGAGATGCATGCTGCAACTGTGGTCAAATTCAAACTATTAAGCATATAGTTCAAGACTACCCCCAGCAATCCTTTGGTGGAAATTTGATGGACATCCACCAGTGTAATAGTGAAGCTTTGGAATGGATAGAGCACCTGGATATTAGACTTTAAGTTGTCCCTGGACTGTAAAGTCATTTACTGTTACATCACTTTCATTGTTGTTAATGTGGTTGTTTTTAGTTTGAATTTGCATGACCTTGCATTATTTATATACTGTTTCAAGTTTATATATTGGAAATACAAACTGTAGACGTGTACCAATTTACACTTAAAATGTAAAGTACAGAAATATGATGATAAAAAATGGATATCAGAAATAAAATTTTAGCTTACCTCATTCACCAAAGCCTGATTTGATACATGATTGGATCTAAAATTAAGAAATCCTCTATTATTCAAGTTATTTCAAATCAATTAAAGTTAAACTTTTATTCATTTACATATTTTAATGTTAATATTTAAAAATAGTCTATAATGTAATAATATAAATTCCATAGTAATGACTTTGTAATTTACCTAATATGCAGATCATTCATTCTTTTTGAAATTGGCATAAAATCGCATTCTTCTTCTTCACATGTTCTGGGCCGTTTCCGACTATAATGAAAATATTAAAATTATAATACTTTCACTAACCATATATTCTAAAACACAAATACTTAATGTTTAGTGTCCACTATTTTAAGTGGACACTAAACATATACCCACAATATTAATTAAGAGAGAAAAACATTTCAATATAACTATATCCAGTGTTTCCAAAAGCAAAATAATTTTTTAATTATTCTTTGACATCTATTTAGCATCAGGATTAATAAATCTGAAATTTTAACTCACTGTTGTTTTATTTACTTAGACCATTTAATGTCATCAATATACACAAGTCTCAAAGTGATTACCATAAGCACATTCTACAGTATTTATTGTGTCAAAAAATTATCTTGCTTTATATTCAATACATGTAAACTGCTACTGTAGATATAGATGTATATATAGCATTAAAAAATTACAAACACTTTTACTTGTATTTTAAATTCTTAGCATTTTCAAGGTCATATTATCATTTTAATAAAAACTGGTTACTTTAATTACAACTCTGTTGTGAACTAACTTTTAAATTTAAAGTTTTATGTGACATCATTAAAATTAAAATGACTATATATATATTAAAATTATAGAAAAGCAAAACATAAAATATTTGAATTATAAAAAAAAAAAAAAAAAAAATACTATAATATGAAATATTTACCTTTCATTACTGATGAAATGATTGCTGAAACAATTCATGTCTTGTTATATTAATAATTGTTCACTTTAATTATTATTGAATCTGCAAAACAAATATAGAACTTAATTATGATATTTATAAATAAACAGTTAGTTTACAATACAATAAATTTTGGTGAAAAATTTATAATGAGAGAATAAATACAAGGGTGTTCAGAAAGTTCTTAGAATCAGATATAATAAAACATAAAATTGAGTTAAATTGCTTGTTATTTTTCAATATAATCTCCTCTTAGAATAACACTTATTCCAGCAGTGTTCCAATACTTTCACTCCAGAAGAAAAAGGCAATTCATCAAGTTATGCAAAATAACCATTCACTGCAATGATGACCTCTTCACGTGAAATTTTTTGCCTCCGACATTTTCTTCGGGTTTAGAAGAGATGAAATTCAGAGGAAAGTTTGGGGGTTGGAGAAGGATTTGAAAGTAATGGTTGACAAATTTTTGCTTGGTGAGACAGGCAGAATGCACTGATGCATTGTCATGATGGAAAAAGATTTTCTTTTTCATAGATCTTTCTCTGTGACAGCAGTCTTCAATTTGTCTAACACCTCACAATAATAAGTAGCAGTGACAGGACAGTCATATTCTTTTTCAAATGGTCAATAAAGATAATTCCTTTGGCATCCCAAAAACACGGAAGGCATGATTTTCCCCACTGAAGGAATCACTTCTGCCTTGTTCAGAGTCAGTAAAGATGCTTATTTCCATTGTTTAGATTGTTATTTAGTTTCAGGGTTATAGCAATGGATTCGTCTCTCATCAGTGGTCACAAATACAAGTCACATAAATTTCTCAAAAAGTTTGATCCAAACATCCTTAAAAGTTGTTGCCCACATATGTTTTTTATTTTGCTATGAGCAAATCAGAAACCTTAGTGATGCCTAGTTCTTGAGTTAGGATTTTGTACACCAGGTTAGGAGGGGAGCCCATGACCTCAACGATATCCTGCACTATATTGTGGATTTTGTCTGTTTCCTAGAGTAACAGTGGTTTTGGGTCATTGGTTAAGACTGTTGTCTCCCACATTTTCTTGGTCAAGTTTGAGAAGTGTTACCCGCTTGCTTACCATTGAATATGATGAGACAGACTTCTCCAAAACTTGATCCAAATCAACTTTGATCTCAGTGACATTTAACCCCCTTTATAACAAAATACTTTATATCATAGCATAAATTTCTGTTTTCTAAATTATCCATTGTAATCCACCTTCACTACTTCCATCATCTGCCAAAGCACTTTCTATTTCCTCTTTGGTGCCAAAATGTCGCATGCATGCCAAGTAGCTGTGCTGATTCTTAACGCCACCTGTTTCAGTTGGATAATATTGCCACCTATGTGTGATCCCAAGAACTTTCCAAACTACTCACCTCAATTATACTTAGTGTAAACTTCCACTTGCTGAAATGAAGTCAAAAACATGCTTTAATTAAGAAAGTTATTACTTTATGAATCTAACTTTTTAAAATTATATTCACAAAAAAAAACACAAAACTCTGCTAGTTCTTTTGAGTTCTTTCCCAGAAGAAACAGTATCATTTTGTGTTTTTATGACTATATCATCATTAAAGTATATTTGAGTTCAATTAAACTTTAAAGCAAAATGGTAAAGCCTGATTAAGTTAATTATTATTAAAATAATATTTATATGATTTACTATTATTTTTATATGAACAATTAACTAAATCAATTTCACTGGAACTGATACATCACAATTGAATTCTAAAAGAATTCTTCAGATTTAGTTGATGATCTTTTTAATAAAATCTTCAGTTCGGATAAAATTTCATGAATAAGAAAAATCAGTAAAATAGTTTGTAAACATGAAAAAAGTTCCTGTAATTCTAACAGGAATTTTTTTATTACCAGTACAGTATTATTTATTTTTTTGGGTAAAATTTTATTTACTAAATTCGGAACCTGTTACCAGTGTAATTTGTGTGAAAAATCCCCCTTTCACAAACATTTTCGAACTTTAGAGATAGTTCTTCTTCAGGTAAAGAAATTCTGTTGGAATGCTTTGAAAAATGGAACGTGGATATTCAAACAAAAAACCGAATACTCACATAACGGAATTCGGTTTTTCACACAAATTACACTGGTAACAGGTTCCGAATTTAGTATTTCACTCCCAAGTGTCAAGGAGAGGTTGATTTTCTTATTTAAAATTTTATTTAGATGTCTGGTTATTTGACTGAATCACTATAGTATTTTTTTCAGGTCATCAAATAGGATTCCTTCCAGATTTCTCTACCATTGATAATATTTTTGTATTTTATATACTTATTACAAAATGTTTAAGAAGAAAATGTGGAAAGCTTTATTTTTTGGGAACCTTTATGCAGCTTTTGATTCATTGAACAGAGATTTTATAGAAACAACTTTGAGAAATAGAAATTAGTTATAAATTTGTTCATTGTCTAATTGAATTGTGCATGAATTCTGAGGATTGTGTTTTTACTAACATGAAAAAGTTTGATTTATTCTGTTTTTTCTCCACAGGAGTTAAATAGGGATATATTTATATAAATCTGCTGAATAGCTTTATAGTTCAAATATTTATGATGTCAATCTTGTTGATAGGAAAATTAAATTACTTGCTTATGCCTATAACTTAATATTGGTGGCTGACTGGCTGACTCTTCACAAAATTTACAAATGATTATTTTTCTAGTTGAATCTATAAAGTTACAATTGACAATCAACGGGGATAAATCAAAAATTCTGGTTTTTGTAATGTCTTTAATAGAGATTGATGGTATTTGCAAAATTATTTAATTGAGGTGGTAGACAAATAAGTATGGTACATGGATATACTATTCCAATCAAATGGTTATTTTTCTAAACATTTGAATTATGTCAGGAACAAAATTAAGTTTTGTATAGATAAAATACAATGGGTTGTAAGGCTGAAAGATTAATGCACTAGAAAAATAAAGCCAGAAAAATGGAAACACTTCTCTAAATATTAGTTTCATATAGTTTGGAGGGAGGTTTTAATTGGACTGAAAGGGATGATTTGATTCAAATATGTTTTATTAAACATTTTTATGCATTTAAAAAATGGGTTTCATCTTATATAATAGCCTAAACCTTAAATTCCAAAAGTTTCCTTTATTTTTTAATGTGGTTAAAAATATTTTGGTTCTTCAAGTAAGATTTTATTTAATTGAGCAAAAATTTGGTTGTGGGGTATCATGTAAATCAAGTAAAGCCAAATTATATGAAAAATTTGGCTTTAAATAGAAATTAGCATCCTTGTTTAATGTTGACATTTTGGAGATTTTTGGAATTACAGAAACTATTATTACAACAATTGAAACAATTGATTTTATAAGCAATTATTTACATATTTTCTTTTATTAAGTAACAGCTGATTAGAGCTCAAGAAACGATTAAATCAAGTGATTTTATAACATTTGTTTACATTCTGTCTCCAATAACATTGTAAGGTTTTGTTGCTATGTTGATCAAATTTTTGTATAAATTTTTTTAATTATCTGTATTTTTAATTTTTTGCCAATAGATGTTGCTACATGTAAAGTCAGCAAACTGAACATAGACAGAAATCAATTAATATATAGAAATCCAATCAATATTTTGGGTTGATATGTACTGTACAACATTAAGTTAGAAGTATGTTAATAACTGCCAAGTTGTAACAATTGGTCAAATGGCCTATGAGTGCATAGCAAACAAACAAAACATCCTCATCATATATATATATAACAATAACAGCCAGGAAAGTAATTATCCATACAGTAATATTATACTACAAAGTAAACACAAAAAACATTTTTGTAAATCAAGCCTTTTGAATTAATTAATGCATCTTTAACAGTAGCTGAAGTTTAAAAAACACAAATATTCCATTCCACTTTCAACAGTCCATTCATGAAGATAGCCCATTAAACAAGTCAAAAACTTCATCCACTTCATCATTCTTTAAACTCCACCCATTGTTAAAAGTGCATTGATTAATTTGGCTGAGTAACTACAGTAGCCAGTTCATCCTTATTAAGTCTTTTTTAAAGTACAAATGTCTCCTTACAGTTGATTTTTTAATCACTTTCACACACTTTTATAATTATTGATAATGAATTGGTGATATTTTGTTCTTGATAATGAGACTGCATCTTTCAGGCATTGAGCAAATGAGTCTTCAGAGCTGTTCAACTGAAATCATGTAATGCTAAGAGTTAATGATAATTTCAATCAATTCCCTTTTGATAGTGAGATGTTTTTTTTTTAGAAATTTCAGTGATTTTTTTGCAATAAATTCTCAATAGGCTACAAATCTGAAAATTAAGTTGGCCAAACCAGTTATTGGATACTTTCCTTCCAGAATCACTATTTCAAGAGTACTGTCATCCATGAAGATGAAATCCCAATCAGGAGACAAATATTGGACACTTAATTGCATTTTCTTGTTCAGTATTTGCAGTATTTCAAGCCATTCATCATCCCTTGAATAATATGCAGTTTATCTACATTTGCAACTTTACATGACCATATCATTACTGATAATGGGTGCTTTATTATAAGGCCTGTGCATTCTAGCTTGAACCTTTCTTCTGGATATCTTCTGGCCTAGATTTTACAGATAGATCCACAATTGTTAACAATTGTGGATCCAGAATTGACATCAATTCTGGATCTGTGTGTAAAAATCACTTTTTTCATTTGTTGAGGAGACCAATGGCAACATTCTTTCACCAAAGTCGACCTTCCTTTCCTTTAAACTTCAAACAGCAACAGTTTACTTTATACTTTACATCCACATAATCTATCTTTGAGCAATTTGTAGCATACTGTGACCATGGAGACCTCATGCCACAAGATTTTCTTCATTCATGGAGTAGTTCGGATAATGTCAGCTTCCAGTTTTTGACAGAGCCTCCTCAAAACCTAGTCATCCTTGTCGATGGGCACAAAGTAACTGGACCACAGTTTAGAAGCAATGCTCCCTATACTTTTGTGTCTCAGGATTGTTCTTTTGACTATAAAATAACCATATTCTGTTCAATATCTGTCTAGGTAA